GGGGGATGGGTTAGCCTGGTGATGGGTATTAAAGAGGGCACGTTCTGCGTGGAGCACTGGGTGTTACGCACAAATAATGAATCATGGAACACTACATCAAAAACTAATGATGTAATGTATGGTGATTAACATAAGAATAAAAATTTAAAGAAAAAAAAGAATAAGGGGAGAATGTAAAATTATGGCTATAAATTCACCGGACTGTGAAAAAGGTCAGTAAGGACATAGTGAATTCATCCAGTTAATATGCTGCTAGCCACAGCAAATCCTAATATTGCCATACTGCAAGACAATGGTAATACATTTTCAAGGGGCTTAAATATTGTTATGTTCTTAGTCCAATAATTATATATTTAAAAATCTATAGTGAGGAAACAATCCAAAAGTAGTATCAACAACCATGAAAAATCTGTACCATATTCAGTTTTTTTTTTAATAAGAAGAAAAATTGGAAGCAACCAATAATATAAGAACGACTAAGTAATTATAGTATTTTCATTGGGTAGAATATTATGGAGCTATTAAAATGGTGGTTATAAAGTTTATGCAGCAACATCAAAAAGGTAAAGTATAATCCTAAATGAAAATAAGATACAGAATTATATGTACACTATGATTATAACTATGCAAAACAAAATGAAAAAACGTTCATAGAATTGCAAGCATTGCTGGTAGGAGCTGCCTTTTGAGATGTCTTATTAGAAATGTTCATATCATTTGATTGAGTAATTCAACTTCTGGAACTATATCTTAAGAAAATTATCCAAAAAAAAAAGAAAGAAAGAAAAAAGAAAAAAAAGAAAATCATCCAAAATGAGAAAAAGAAAGGGGGGGGATGGTTAGGAAGAATTTTTTTAATACATCTCTGCAGCTTTTTTTTTAATTCATAAAGAACTAAAAACAGCTTAAATGTGTAGGAAGAAAGAGATAGTTAAATAAATTAGAACTTATCTGTCATAATGTTATACAGCTATGAAGAATGAATGAAATTAATGATAACTTCATAAATTTAAAACGCAGTATTCATTTTAAAAGCAATATATAAAATAATATTGACTATATGATTTAAAAGTACATACAGATAAAAATATACCAAAAATTTAACAGTGTATTTGCTAGAAATATATAAAAAAATTAATAGTGATTAACAGTGGTTATATAAAAGAAAATTCTTAATGCCCATCATCTTTCTTATGCTTTTCTATATTTCCAAGTTATATATAATAATCATAGTAGTAGGTATTACTTTGATAATCAGAAAAAAATTGTAAATACCTAAATAGGAAAAAAATTAAATATCTATATTGGCACTGTATAAGTATGGTTGATTAAGGATTGTGTGTTTTTCTAGCTTCCACATCTTGGAATGTAGTTATGCTAAATTTGTAATTTCAAAACCTATAATATTTAGTAAGGCGACCCATGCTATACCTTATTTGCCTTCTGGTAAGCCATGACATTAATAATAACACTTTACATTTATGTAAGGATTTACAATTTACAAGGTATCTCACTTGTATTATTTCATTTGATTCTCACACTTGTGTAAAGTAGAAACTGTTACCATGCTACAGTTGTGGAAATTGATTCAGAGATTAAGTGAGGTCCTCCAAGTCATTTGGCAGATACCTAACCAAACCAGTGTTGAACCCAGTGGTTAAGCTTCCAAATGCGCTCAGGGTTTCCATGGAATCATTTTCACAGTTCTCATCAGGAAGGATAAAGCACTATGCCACTGCAAACATAACACTAGTGCCGTAAACAACTAAGACATTTACTGCAAGAGAGTGACTTTGATTCGTTTTATACCTATTCTTTCCACTGTCCTAATAATGATTAATTTTTTTAAAAAATCAGGCTTTTAGCCTGGGTGGCTCAGTAGGTTAACTGTCTCCCTTTGGCTCAGGTCATGATTCCAGGAGCCCTGCTCAGTGGGGAGCCTGTTTCTCTCTCTCTCCCTCTGTCCTCCCTCCTCCCCCCACTCTCACTCTCTGTCTCTCCAAATAAATAAATAAAATCTTTTTTAAAAAAAGTTAGGCTCTGATGTTTCAGTTAGTACCTTTCCAACACATCCCCAATCCCTTGATATGCCCAACTAATTATGCAGTGATGTAGAGTTTGCATGAAGTACTTTTTAATTAGCTACAGTGATTCCCAAATTATTCAGCCCAGGCTCAGGACCCTTAATATTCAAAATGACAATCTAGTGCATGTAAACTATTTATTTAAATAGTGACATCTGAGATTAAGCTCAATAAAGGTTTCTATGGAAGCTAACTGCAATATCAAAACTTACCAAAACACCAAAATGATCCAATTAGTAGAGGTAAAAATAAGTGATGGAAAGAGCAGCTATTCATACTATGGAAGGGTTCATCCAACTTCCTCACATTAATTTTCATAAATGTGTCTGCATATTCATTAGAAGACTATGCAATTTATTTGCTATTCAAGGATCTCAACTAGATAAGAAGGATACATGAAATGGAAGTTTAGTTGTTCTTCAATAGCATTGAAGCCAATTTCATAGAAACACAGACATTAAAACTGAAAAGCAAGGTAAATTTACATGAATGTATACACATAGATAATGTAAACACTGCTAAAGATAAATTAAAGATAAAATTCTAGGATTCCTGCAGCAGAAGAGATCAATAAATTCATGAATTAGTTCCAAATAGAAAAGTTAAATAAGGCTTCAGTCTTCCTTAGAACTAAGAACAAAGGGAAATATTTGCTAAGCTTGCCTGCAGAATGAAATGCAAACATAAACATATTTATTAAAGGTTGTAATCACATAAGAAGCTCTTAATAATAGCTCTGAGAGTCAAGTATAATATAAGAGCAACTCATGAATGTGTAATTTTTTAAAAGTTTTCTACTATGAACGTTAACCAAGTTCAGATTTAAACCTTGACATTTGGATGCACTGGGACAACTGAAGACCCAAAATGGTTTTCAAAACATACATGGCTACAGAATTCTAACTTTTGTTTTTGAAAGCTTAGGTCACAAGACATTTTCTTGGAAATCCTTGCAAAAAAGACATCCAAGTATGTCTAATAAGTAGTATTCTAAATTTTATTAATAAAACACAATGACCAAGTGACATATATAGCTGCACCACTAACAGACATCTCAAAATTAACCCACCTGAAATCTAGCTCCTGATCCTTTCTGCTTTTCTTGGAGTCTTTCCCATCTCAGTCAATGGTGATACCATCTTTAATGCCTGTCCATCATGCTGTGTTATCAACCCAGTATAGACAACTGGCTTTGAATGGCACAGTGGTAGACCAAAGGGGATCTATTTTTGTCACATTAAGCAATATTGAAAAAGGACAGCAGAGAGCAACGTCTCTACGCAGTAATGATAACACTCATAAAACTTACAGTGTTAAGAAGTCTGTTAAGAAGATAGCAGGAGGCGAAGAATGAAGGGGGGAAATCGGAGGGGGAGATGAACCATGAGAGACGATGGACTCTGAAAAACAAACTGAGGGTTCTAGAGGGGAGGAGGATGGGGGGATGGGTTAGCCTGGTGATGGGTATTAAAGAGGGCACGTTCTGCATGGAGCACTGGGTGTTATACACAAACAATGAATCATGGAACACTACATCCAAAACTAATGATGTAATGTATGGTGATTAACAATAAAAAATTAAAAAAAAAAGAAGTATGGTAGTTCCTGGGGGGCAGAAAAGGACATCCAGTGGAGTTCACCAAGCCCTGAAAAACTTGGAACAATGTGCTATCCTTTCCTGGCATGCCTTCAGTGAGCAGTGCATGGGAATTACCTGACCCACCAGGAAATGTCACTCCTATTGACAGATGTGTGCAGAGTTTCTTGCCACCTATGTCCACATACACCCATGTTAGTGGTGTGGCCCTGGATAAATAACATTATCTTATCTTCTTCAGACTTGTATATTGAAGCGAGTCATAAAGAAGAAAAAGGGATCAAACCAGTGCTGCTTACTTATGTCTATGGCTAACATTTCCTAAGCATGCTTGCAATAAAATCTCTTCCCTCTGGCTTGAATACTAGATACCTGAATCCTCAGTTTTCTTCTCCTTGACCTGCATTATCTCTTCTTACAACTTGCTCCACCAGAGACCAAAGCAGTTCTTCCGGAATATAAAAACATGAATCCTTGTGGTCATACACACACTCTCCTCATTCTAGCTATTTTATAAATTAAGATGGCAACTCAGTCTTTGGCACTCTAGCCTTGACACCTTCTACTCATTCAACAAGTTGTAAGGGGGCTAGAGTTGTAACCTCTGAGTTGTTATTTTGTGAACACAAATTACCTGTGCAGATTCTTTTAAAGTTGGGATTTTCCAGAAGGTGTCCTGGTAGGCGGCACTGGAAGCGATGTTGCCAGAACTCAGGGAACCAGGGATTCCTTGTATTAGTGTCCAGCCTCAGCTTCAGGAAATAATCATCAAATGACCTGACCTCTGGAGATTGCAGCTTTATTGTGATTCCCCCGTTGGCTTCCACCTCATAACCTTCAATGACTTCATCTCTGTCTGCCCATCCATCACTAAAAAAATTCAGGGATTGGGGTGGGGAGAGAGAAAGACAAAGGTCTCACAAATAGGGCTCAGCATTATGCATGAATGAAGCAATTCAGCAAGGCTGAAAGTCTATTTTAAGCCAGAATTGCTACCTATCAATGACTTTTTTTTTTTTTTTTTGGTGGAAGAGTAGAAATTCTGAAATCATAAAGTCCTGTTTGTTTTTCACAGTAGTGAAAGTGATGATGAAGATGATGATAGTAGCAATGAAAAGAACTAACATTTATTGAGCATTTACTAGGCATCAGATTCTGTACTATTTACTTTTACTCAGTCAGATGTTCAGCAACTAACTGAAGTCCCAGTGGAATCAGAATATGGATCCAGGCAGTCTGGCTCCCAAACCCAGTGCTCTTTAGGCCACAAAACCCATCAGCTGCTGTCCCAATCAGAATAAAGTAAAACCCAGGCACTCGGGGCCTTCACAATAAGAGCTCAGCAAGGTTTCAAGGTTGCAGCCAAGACCATTATATGAGCTGCATTTATGAGGTTGAAATTGATTTAGCTCAGAAGCATGACAACCACAGATTTTGTGCCTGGACATTGTTCAAACTTGCATCGCCTAGAAGTGATCAGATGCTTCCCCCTCAATGTTACCTCAAAATAGCAGCATTATAAGAAAACAATCCCACTCCCCAAAATAAAAATAATCCTCCTGCTCACTAAAAGGAAGTTAACTGATATTTTATTCAGTGAATTCAATTTTTTAAAAAAATTTGGTCACCTTCTAGAACATTCATATCAGTCATGAGTGATGTAGCTCCAATTTAATTTAAGTGTACATATGAGCCGGGCCAAACCTCACGTGAGAGCTTTTGATCCCTTCCCAGCAGGTGCCAAAAAAAAAATTGCACCAGTTAGAGTTAAACAGGTAAAAAAGACTTTATTCAAGGCTATTCCAATAGGCCAGAGACACTGAACTCCATCTGCTGAAACAAAAGTTGGGGGGGATTTAGGTGCTGAGATAAGCTAGTGAGCGAGTGCTAGGGGACATTGAGGGGAGCTTGGTCAATGTTATTAGCCATCTGTGTTTGATAATTGTCATTTATCTAAGTTAAGCTCCCACCCTCCCACAAAAACTGGGAGACAGGGGTTTGCTATCATTCTTGATGATTACATTTCAAAGTGATGGCTTCCGGGTCCTTAAGAAAGAAATTCTTCTCTGCTGTAAAAACTGGCAAGAGGCTAGGAGAAAATGTACACCTCCGAGGGACAGAGAAAGAATTTATGGCAGCATTTTTAAAATTAAATGCTCTAAGGAGAGGGAAGTCAAGGGGCCCATGGTCAGGAAGAAACTTGTCTAAAGTTGAGTTAAACTGAGGAGAGGGTTAAAGATTGTCTTGGTCAAGAGGTGGATTTATTTATACCCATAGGGTCATACCCTGCAGTTTCTGGAACACAACTGTTCAGTCTCTGCCAGAGAGAGTGTTTTATCACTTGCTTCTCACAGAGCAGGGACCTGGGCCAAATATATATGGCTGACCATAGTTCACCCTTGTTAAACTGAGATCAACTGGAATAAATGTGTCCTCCATTTAGCTGAGTTAATTGGTGCAGTTCTGTTCCAGAATCTTCCCAGTGAACCATACAGGAGCTGTATTTTCAACAGACCAAAGGTTGTAGAAGGTATAGCTGACTTAACATGATCCAGAACTGAAGGGACCTTGAGGTATAGTGTGGTCTAACCAGCCAGATCAGAGAATGTTATATGCTTCTTCTAAATCCATCAGGATAGAGATTTTACACTCTTGCACAGACCTTTCCTTCCCCCCACAACCCCCCATCATTTTCTTCTTTCCTTCCTTCTGTCCTTCCTTCCTTTTGCATTTACCTAGATACTCTGCTATGCTCAAGATTCAATTAAGAATGAGACACACTATCCTCTTCCCCTAGTGTGACAGACTTGTGGGAAGAACAAACACCAAACAAGAATTACAAACACTGTAAAGGTAAAGAAGGAAAAGTGACCAGTTCTGCAAGGAGGAGGGGCTTAGGGGTTTAACTTAGTCAGGTGTGTACGTATGTATATAAATGTGGGTAGGGAGAAAGTAATTAGGGATGACTATCCTGAGTAAGTTATATCTGAGTTGAGACCTAAAGGATGTGTGGGCATTAGTAAGATGAAGAGATGAGGAGGGAGGTATAGAAGGTTCCTGGTAGATTATCTAATATATGGGAAAGAGCATGGGCCATTCAAAGAATTTGGAGAGTCAGTATAGCTGTAGCATAGAAAGAAGTATAGCAGGAGATAGGAGTGTGGGCATAAATTCCAGCTTAGTTACCGTTAGCCTAAGGACTGCAGAAGTCTTCATAGTGTTTTAAGCCTATTACATAATAAGGCCACTGCACTCTGCCCCCTGGTGGGGAATGACCTGAGTCTTTCTAACAAGTCCCGTTTACTCACCATCACTGGATATGACGGCCCGTCAAATTGATTTTAAAAAAGACAGACTCTTTTATCTTTCTATATGCTCAGTCTACTTAGAAAGGCTTGAACTAGTTTATTTAGATTTATTCACATTATATCATAACTACATTTATAGCAATTTGAAGACCTGAACTATAGGGTTAAGGGTAAAAACAAAACCAGTTAGGCTTTCAAAAAATTCTGTTTATGAGTATATATTTAAAATCAAAATGACTTATAATTTGAAGGAAAAAAATTCCTTTTCGACATAAAATTTAAGCTTGAAGTGTGTCTCTCCCCAAGATTTAATATTATGTGAGACTTCTCTGTGTGTGAATGTATAGTCTGAATAAGAAACCCACCATTTTTTAAGTGTATGAAATGAGCCCTCAATACTGTTTATTTGCATTTCTTTTTTTTTTTATCATTCCCAGTTTATAAAAGCAAGTATCATGTGTCAGTGCTGGAAGCAGAGAAAGTGTGACCTCCTGCCCTTTTGCCTTCCAACACAGAGGAGCACATCATGGGAGTAAACCTGAATATAGAAAATTTGAAGTCAGATGGTTTAGTGGGGCAGAGCCTTAGATCCCCTTTGCCATTGATTAAAGTCCTTCCTCTTAACTATTGATGACCTCATTCTAGAAATTAGAGTTGGTGTTAAACCCAAGAAGTCATGAAATCAAGGAGAACCAGGATGTGACAGAAAAAAATATTCAGCTAGGATTGGTTGGTGAATACTTTTGAAGGGTTAATCACTAGATTATTATATGAGATCTTAAATGTATCACAGGTAAGGTGTTAGGGAATGCTAACAAAAAGTTGCCGAAAAACATCCATAAAGCAATTCTTGGTTTTTATATATTTAAATCATTTTGTTTACAGTCCACTTGCCAAATGTATTTACAGAGAATTTTAAAGGATTTTAGTGTTCAGTTGTTTTGGGACTTTTTACAAGGATATTGTTTTGGTGAATTCTCTGTGAAGCATACTTGAAAACAGGGAGGCAGCAGCTCTCCTGATACCTGGTTTGGGTGTTTACTTTTGTTACTGTTGTTGATAGTGGTGGTAGTAGTGTGAACTATGCGACCAGAGATGACCTGCAGGTACCTGCTCACCCCAGGCTTCTGCAGCGAATCCTGCTGTGCTGGGTGCTGAACTCTATGAGGCATATTCACAGCCTCCAGCAGCTTCTGCTGCCCATCTGTTCCCCAATGATGAGTTCCTTTTCCTATCTGGGGTCTAGAAATAAAGCTGCAGAATGTGGATAAACAAGGTGAACATTTAACAGACAGCTACATGTCTTTAAGTATTCCTCACAAAACACAAGAATCCTTGTTCCTTGTCCCCCTCAACAATTTTATACAACAGTTCTTTCACAAGGCTGTTCTTGTCCCAAAAATCATTGTTCTAGTCCCTGTGAAATTCCACAATCCCAACCTGAATAATCAGAAGATTTCTTCCACTGAATAAATTCTGATGGAAACAATAGGAAAATATTGTTTCTAATTCTACCAATTATGACTGGACAGGCGCTGCATGAGTGTCACTTTTGCATTATATAAATTAAAATAATTTAATAAGCAGATTGACATTAAAAAAAGAAATACAATAGTATTCATTTAAAAATTGTTTAAAAACATTTTAGAAGAACATATTTATATTCAATTAAAATAATTACAATCTAGGGAGCAAAGCAATTTGATTTGTGTTGAGTACAAGTAACTGTGTGTACCTGAAAATAAAGCTATCATTCTTTTAAAATATTCCAGAGATTACCATATAAGCAAGAAAATGAGAAAAGAATAATAAAAATATTTTCAAAAACATATGTAAACGAGCACAAAATTCTATTAATACAATGCTAACCATACTGATAAAGGCTGAAGAAATGTCACATGATGCAATGTAAATCAAGTGATGTTAATTGTGGGAAATTTTCTGGCGGTAATGGCAGCTTTTTCAATAAGAATTCAGACTTGCTTTCCTCATAAGAATCCTGTATGAGTTAGGCATTTTGCTTACCGCTACAGATACATTGCTAAGCAGTACAGGCAAGGCCCATGCTCTCAAGGCAATCACAGTGGTGGGGAGGACTAGCCACTTAATACATAATAGCCACAGGGAGTTGTGGCAGCTGATAGGAAAGGAAGGTGGGCTACACGGAAGCACTGAAAAGGGGCAGGGTCCTGTCAAGGGAGGTTTTGCCGGAGGAGAAGTAACATCTAAGATGAGACTTAAAGGATGCATTGAAGCTACACAGTAACACGGGAGATGGAAGAAAGGACCAGCTCAAGAGAGTACAAAGTTATCAAACAGCAGGGTGATCAGTTTGCTTAGAGTGTGCCAGTAAAGGAATGACAGGTCAAGCCAGTGAGATCTAGAAGAACCTGAACATCCTTGTTAAGGATTTGGGATTTCATTTTTATGGTGGTGAGAAACTATTCAGATTTTAAACAGGGATATGACATGATTAGGTTTGTTTTAGAAAGGTCATTCTAGAAAGTACTTATGAGTGTAGGTACTTGTGGAGGTTCTTTGGTTGTAGAATTCTCAGACAAA